GCTAGCCTTGAGCTGAAGAGCTGAGGGACAGCGCCCAGGCCCAGAGTTCAGGCCCCACGATCAGGCCCCCCCCCCCAAAAAAAGAATAAGAATGGCATAAAACAACTCTAAGAGGGCTGGAAGGTGGCTCAGAGGCAAAGCGCTTGCCTTGCATGCATGAGGCCCTGGGTTCGATTCCTCAGCACCACATAACCAAAAAGAAAAAAGCTGGAAGTGGTACTATGGCTCAAGTGGTAGAGCTCTAGCATTGAGATGAAGAGCTGAGGGACAGCGTCCAGGCCTAGAGTTCAGGCCCCACGATCAGACCCCCCCCCAAAAAAAAAAGTTAAAACAACTCTAAGAGTGAAGATAAATGCCAAAATGTTTGTGCTTCTGTTTTTATGCTGGTTTTGGAGGTTAAACTCAGGACCCTATGCTCTTGCTTAGCTTTTTCCTCAAGGCTATCATTCTACCACTTGGATCATACCTTCACTTCAACTGTTCATGTTTTTTTTCAGTTTTATTCATGGGAAATATTCCTTGGACTGTGTCAGAACTAAGTGTTAAAAGGAAGCTGTTAGAGATGGGCAAACAGATAGTAGGAAAAATAGGTTTTAGACACAGGAAAACAAAGTATAGAAGCAAGAATTCAATGGTCTAAATGCATTTGGTAAGGAACAATACTCCTTGGATACAGTAATGTTTCAAACAGTACAATCATCATTACATTACACTAGAGTAATGGATTAATTCAATAAAAAGATGGGGAGTCAAACATACTTCACTGTACTTAGCAAGTATCTGATCCAGTCTAATAATATACCTTTCATTTTTTTCTTTTGCAGTGCTGAAGGTAGAATCATACATTTTAAAAATGATACAGGGAAATGGATAAATAAAATATTACATACTTACACAATGAAAAGTACTCATTAAAAAACAACTACTGAGGGGCTGGGAAGGTAGCTCAGCAGTAGAGTACTTGCCTCACATGCATGAGGCCCTGGGTTCAATTCCTCAGCACCACATAAACAAAAAAAAAAGGCCGAGGGCTGGGAAGATGGCTCAGTGGTAGAGTGCTTGCCTTGCATGCCTGAGGCCCTGGGTTCGATTCCTCAGCACCACATAAGCAAAATGAAAAAAGCCGGAAGTGATGCTGTGGCTCAAGTGGTAGAGTGCTAGACTTGAGCTGAAGAGCTGAGGGACAGCGCCCAGGCCCAGAGTTCAGGCCCCATGACCGGACCAAAAAAAAAGAAAGCTGGAAGTGGCACTGTGGTTCAAGTGGTAGTGTGCTAGCCATGAGCTGAAGAGCTCAGGGACAGTACCCAGACCTAGAGTTCAAGCCCCGTGGCTGACCAAAAAACAAAAAAAAAACAACTACTGAAACATATTCATGCTTAGATAAACCTCAAAAATGTGCAATGAGAAGCCAGGTGCTGGCTTAATTCTAGCTATTCCAGAGGCTGAAATCTGAGTATCACAATTCAAAACAAGGCAAAGAAATCCATATGGAAGTATGGCTCAAGTGGTATAATGCACCAGCTGTGATGGAGAAAAACTGAGTAAGAGTATAAGGCCTTGAGTATAAGTTGGTATACCCTCATTTACCTTAACAACCCAATCTGGCCGGGTGCTGGTAGCTCACGCCTGTAATCCTAGATACTCAGGAGGCTGAGATCTGAGGATCACAGTTCAAAGCCAGCCCGGGAGGGGCTGGGAAGGTGGCTCAGTGGTAGAGCACTTGCCTTGCATGCACGAGGTCCTGGGTTCGATTCCTCAGCACCACATAAGCAAAAAGAAAAAAGCCGGAAGTGGCGCTGTGGCTCAAGTGGTAAAGCACTAGCCTTGAGCTGAAGAGCTGAAGGACAGCGCCCAGGCCCAGAGTTCAGGCCCCACAACCGGACCCAAAAGAAAAAAAAAAAGCCAGCCCGGGCAGTAAAGTCTGTGAGACTCTTATCTCCAATAAACCACCAGAAATTCGGAAGTGGCACTATGGCTTAAGTGGTAGAGCACTCGCTTTGAGCTGAAGAGCTGAGGGACAGCGCCCAGGCCCAGAGTTCAAGCCCCACGACCAACCAAAAAAAAAAATCTGGAAGAAACTTTGGGACTATGTTATAAGTCTTGCTATAATAAAAGTCATGAGTTATAAAGAAAGTAGGAAGGGCTGGGAAGTTGGCTCAGTGGTAGAGCGCTTGCCTTGCATGCCTGAGGCCCTGGGTTCGATTCCTCAGCACCACATAAGCAAAAAAAAAAAGCTGGAAGTGGCCCTGTGGCTCAAGTGGCAGAGCGCTAGCCTTAAGCTGAAGAGCTAAGGGCCAGCACCAAGGCCCAGAGTTCAGACCCCATAACCGACAATCAATCAATCAATCAATCAATAAAGAGCAATAGTACCAAACAATTCCAAAATGTTTTATAATATAGTTCTATGTAAACAAAAAGTTCTTTTTGGCTGGGAAGGTAGCTCAGTGGTAAAGTGCTTGCCTTGCATACATGAGGACCTGGGTTCGATTCCTCAGCACCACATAAGCACAAAAAGCTGGAAGTGGTGCTGTGGCTCAAGTGGTAGAGCACTAGCCTTGAGCTGAAGAGCTGAGGGACAGTGCTCAGGCCCAAAGTTCAGGCCCCACAACCAAAAAAAAAAAACTATTTGTTAGATTAATCAAAGGAAATATTAATCTGTCCCTTGTCTTAAGGACTCTGAAATCTGTGGTAAAAGTAAAAAAAACAGCACATTACTAAGTGAGGAAAATATCTGTTAGAGATCTACTGGCAAGAAGTTTTATTAAACATATTATCAGATGCTCAGGTATCACCAGAAACTTTCTTTAATTGTGGTTTAGGTTTAATCACCTTTAGCAAAACCCAATAAATCATAAATTCTAATATACCAGCATACATATAAGCTATGGGCTTTGTCAAAAAAACAGAAAACTCTGAGAAATGGAAGAAGGATGGCAAATGGCTTTCAGCTTATATTGTTTGTCTGGTATAGTACTCACAAGGATTTGGAGTTATATCTAAAACTCAACAAGAACTTGTTTTGTCTAGAGTACGTGCAGCTAAAAATACTATATCAGGCTAGGAAGGTGGCTTAGGGGGTAGAGTGTTTGTCTTGCATGCATGAAGCCCTGGGTTCAATTCCTCAGTACCACATACACAGAAAAAGCTGGAAGTACCAGGCACGGTGGCTCACACCTATAATCCTATTGCTACTCAGGAGGCTGAGATCTGAGGATCACAGTTCAAAACCAGCCAGGCAGGAAAGTCTGTGAGACTCTTTATTTCTAATAAACCACCAGAAAACTGGAAGTGGCACTGTGGCTCAAGTTGTGGTAGAGTGCTAGCCTTCAGCTGAAGAGCTCAAGGACAGTACCCAAGCCCCGAGGTCAAGCCCCATGACAGACAAAAAAAAAAAGTACAAATGGTTTTGGTTCATAGAAACACATTAAAAAGAAATCATTTAAAGTGACCAAAGTCTTTTTAAACAAGAAATAACATGTTGCTTTTCTGAAAAAGAATCACAACAAGCCAGACACTGGTGGCTCATGCATATAATCCTAGCTTCTCAGGAGCCTGAGATATGAAGATCAGCAATTGAAGCCAGCCAGAATGGACAGGAAAGTCCATCAGACTCTTATCTCCTTATCTCCAACTAACCATCAGAAAACCGGAAGTGGCACTGTGGACTAACATGGTAGTGTGCAAAAAAGCTGAAGGACAGTGTCCAGGCCCTGAGTTCAAACCCCAAAACTGATCAAAAAAAAAATCACAATAATCATATTTACAGATAGCATACTACAGTGGCAATTTCCATTTTTATTATTATTTATTGTTTATTATTTTATTTTGGTGGTACTGAGGATGAACTCAGGGCCTCCTAAGATTTGAACCACATCCTGTCCTACACTGGTTATTTGATGCATACCTTATTGTGAGTTCAAGGCTAGCCTAGACAACAGAGTGAGACTCTATATCAAAAAAAGTGAACACTTACTTTCTGAACATGTAGTTTCACCATTAGTAACAACATCAGCATCTAACTGCAGCCCATCAAGACAAATTGACAAGTCTCCTATTGTCTCTGTTGGCTCTTTGTCACCTACAAGCTGCAAAGTCACAACCACTTCTTCAACTGAAAGAGCAAGATTATACAAAAAAATTTCATTTTTCCTTTAAACCATCTTAAGAATCTAATTTAATTAAAACCTGTACATGTATTATAGAAATCATTTTACTATATATATCACCAAAGATTTGAAATCTTTTTTAGTCAAAGCATTGTATTTAAAGATAGCTCTGAGCAGGGCACCGGTGGCTCACACCTGTAATTTTAGCAACTCAGGAGGCTGAGATCTGAGGATTGAGGTTCAAAGCCAGCCCCGGCATAAAAGTCTGTGAGACTCTTATCTCCGATAAACCACCAGAAAACCAGAAGTGACACTGTGGCTCAAGTGGTAGAGTGCTTTCCTTGAGCTGAAGAGCTGAGGGACAGAGGCCCAGGCCTGGAGTTCAAGCTCCACAACTAACAACAACAAAAAAAGATAGCTTTGCTAATGTCTAATATCCACAATGTAAAATATTAAGCATCTCAATTTATTACATCTCTTATATTCATCCTATCTTTGTAAGGCTGCAGAACAAAATGAGCCAGCATGACAACAAAGATTATTTATTGAAATATACTTGGATTATAATAGAAGAAACCAAAACTTAAGAATGGTTTATATCTAATAAAATTTATACAAGTAAGAAAATTCTTAAAAATAAGATTTAGATAATCAAGGAAGGATTAGAAGGGGGAAAAAAAGTATGTCTACAGGCTCACACCTGTAATCTTAGCTACTCAAGAGGCTGAGATTTAAGGATCACAATTTGAGGACAACTGTGGCAGAAAAAGACCATGAGACTCTTATGTCCAATTAACCACCAAAAAGCTAGAAGCAGAACTGTGGCTCTCAAGTGATAGAGTACCAGCCTTCAGCAAACAAGTCAAGTGAGAAATCAAGTTGCTGAGCTTGAGCCCCAGTATCAGGACCAAGAAAGAAAAAAGAAAAACAATGTTTACTAAAAATACTGGATCCAAAATGAATGGTGAAACCAAGGCTATTCAGAATACTTTAAACAAGTAATCTCAAAGGCAAATATATTTTAACAAGAGACATTCTGCATGTTTGGTATATAAATTTCTTCCAGAAAAAATAAAAGCTAACCATAATTTCTGTGGTTTTAACATACATACGTTTCATATTGTTTGACTTTAATGTTTCATAAACATCTAGTGCAGCAGTTCCCAACAAAACATCAGATTTCAGTGTCTGGTGACTCCACACACGAAAACGTAATTTACTCACAGGGGTAACAATACTAGAAGAGAAAAAAGGGGAAAAATATTCTTTTCATTAAAAATCACAATAGGATTCTAAATAAATTATAATTAACTTTTAATGTCTAACATCTCTCACTGTCCTTACGATTTATTGTAGAACCAATACTGGCCTATGTTCTATAATCTTACAAAAATTGTACTTGAATGCAACATGCTTACTTGGTCAGTTTTGCTTGTGGTTGACCTACAAGAGGAACTTCACACACAAATACATTAGCAAAAAATTTAAATGCTTACAATGTTTAAAATGCTAAGGAGAGAGTTTAGTGAAATATTACAGTGTACCAATAAATATAATAAACTTTGTGTCCATTTAAAAATTAATATTGCCGGGCACTGTTGGGTCACACCTATAATCCTAGCTACTCAGAGGATGAAATTCGAGGATCTTGGTTCAAAGCCAGCCTGGGCAGGAAAGTCTGTGAGATTCTTATCTCTAATAAACCACCAGAAAACTAAAAGTGGCAATGTGGGCTCAAGTGGTAAAGTGCTCTCCTTGAGCTGAAGAGCTGAGGAACAGTGCCCAGGCCCAAAGTTCAAGCCCCACAACTGACAAAAAATAAAATAAAATAAATAAAATAATTTTTTTCAGCTGAATTCTAGAAAGCAGGCTGGAAAGACTGCTAAATAGTTATGCTAAGTAGTGTTAAAATTGCTAAAAATTGAAACACTTCAGCTGTAAATTCTACCAAATACCTGGGGCTCCATAATAATACCACCATATAGGGCTACAATGGAAATTTCTTTTTTCTTAACTTCTGAACTAAGGACTGCATAGCATTAATAGCCTCAAAATATATAGTTAGTAAGCACTGACAGCATTTGGGGGAAAAAAAATGAGCATTCAGTCTATTATTAAGCTAAAACTTCTGGCTGTCTATTATTAAGCTAAAACTTCTGGCTGTTATGAAACCTTTGATCTTTTACAGATTTCACTTTTAAAAAAACACAAAAGTTTACATATTTAACTCTTTTGTGGGTAGGATACTGGGTTTTTAGTTCTTGGTCTCAACATTTGCCAGGCAGGTACTCTATCACTTGAGCTCTACCTTTAGCTCTTTTTTTTTGTTTTGCTTTAGTTATTTTTCAGATAGTGTGTCACATTTTTGCCCTAGATATATTATAATCCTAAGTAGTTGGGATTATAAAAGCACATCACTGGCAGGCACCAGTGGCTCACAACTACAATACTAGCTACTTAGGAGGCTTAGATCTAAGGACAGAGGTTTGAAGCCAAGCCAAGCAAAAAAAAGTCCATGACAGTCTTATTTCTAATTAACCAGCCTATAATTCTCTTTAGTGGGTACTCAATGACAGGCTAGTTATTATACTAACATTTGGAACTTTGTCAACTAAGTGCTGAAAACTGAGCTTTACCTTACTTTTACAAATTCATTCCACAGATAAAAATATCAACGTAAGTTGGGCATAGTGGCTCATGCCTGTAATTTCAGCTCAGGAGGTAGAGATCAACAAGATCACATTTCCAGGCCAGCCCTAACAAATAGTGAGGGCTCATCTTAACAAGTTGGGCATAGAGGTAAGTACCTACAGTCCTAACTAAATATAGATAGGAGAGAATCATTGTTTGAGGCTGGCCCTATGTAAAAATTTAAGACCTACCTGAAAAATAACTAAAACAAAACACATGCTCAAATAGGCAAGCAAGCACAAGGCCTGATTTCAACACCAGTACCACCAAAAAGAAAAAAGAGAATTCCACAATATAAAGATATATACATGAATAATACTTCACTAGCCAAATTATCAGAGTATTACAAAATTATAGAAACCAACTAGTCTATCAACAGGGAACCATTAAAATATAGTATATGCCTATATTAATGTACACCTATATTTGTAGTTAATGAGAAATATTAGACCTAGTTGTACTCAGTTGGAAAGATAACCATAATATCTTTCTCACACACACATGCACACGTGCACACACACACACACACACACACACACACGCATGCATGCATGCATATAATTTTGTGTATATGTGTGTTAGTACTGGGGCTTGAACTCAGGGCCTGACACTAACCGTTAGCTTTTGTGATCAAGCCTGATGCTCTACAACTTGAGTCACAGCTCTGCTTTCTGATTTTTGGTTAACTGGAGATAAGAGTCTCACAGACTTTGTGCTGGTTTTTGAACTGCAATCTTCAGATCTCAGCCTCCTGAGTAGCTAGGATTACAGGGGTGAGCCATCAGCACCTAACCAACTATCTCATATATATATATGTATATACTATTATATATATATTTTTTTTTGTTTTGATTTGTTTTGTTTGTGTTTTTGCCAGTCATGGGGCCTCAGCTTCTGGGCCTGGGCGCTGTCCCTCAGCTCTTCAGCTCAAGGCTAGCACTCTACCACTTGAGCCACAGCGCCACTTCTGGCTTTTTTTTTCTGCTTATGTGGTGCTGAGGAATAGAACCCAGGGCCTCTGGCATGCAAGGCAATCACTCTACCACTGAGCCACCTTCCCAGCCCACTATTATATATTTTTAAGACAGGGTTCATTATGTAGTCTAGGTTGGCCTTGTACTCCTCTTGGCTTAAGTGAAAAAAGCTAGGGGACAGCACCTAAGCCCTGAGTTCAACCTCCCATACTAACATAAAAAGAGGGGAGCGGAGAGGGAAAGAGGGAGACAGAGAAAGAAAAGGAAGAGTAAATGGATAGGGAGAGGGACTAGAAAAACAGGAGCAAGTTCTAGGGACTAGGGGGAAAAGTATATGAGATTACAAAGAAAAAAGAACAAAGAATTAAGTGTATTAAAGCTGCATTTCTATTCACCAACTAAATGTTATACCATAGGAAATACTTTTAAACTTACACTGTAAGGGGTTGCTTCCATTTGGGACTGTTTGTATTGTTACACTTTTCTGTCTTCTTTGACTGTCCATCTACTATGACTTCTACATAAGGACTTGGTCCAAACCAATTCTTTTTATTTTCTTTAAGTTTTGCTGAGATGACTGTGAAAGAAAAAAAAATTTCAATATTTAAGATGTTAATTCAGTCCTCAAATCAACTTAATTCCATTCAAAATTAAGCAGATTATGTTTACTCTGAGAAGTAGTTTTAAGGTATTTGCTAATTTTATTCATATAACCTTTAGGTTTCCTCCAACTTCCTAAGGAAATACTGGACTCCCCCAAATCAACCATCAAGACTCTGACTAATTTGCAATAACTAGTATATGTCTGAGACAAGCAAAAGGTCAGATAAGTTGATGTTAGGGAAATGAATCCCAAGATAAGTATTCACATGTTTTTTCTTTCATGTGATTGTTTCTAACATATTTATAAGATGATTTATTTGTTGCTTTGTATGTCCCTCCCCCACAATATAACCCCTGCTTTCACTGTATTTGATGTTGGTATAATTTGTGGAGGGGAAGGGAAAAAACAAATCATTTAAATAGGGATACA